ACCAAGCTGAGACGGGGGCTGCTGGAATTCCTGCAGGAGAAGGTGGGTATGGGGGGATTTGGTGAGGTTGTGGTGGGGTTGGTTGAGTTCTGTAGGGTCGGGTTGAGTTGGGTTGGGGGTTGGTTGAGTTCTGTAGGGTCGGGTTGAGTTGGGTTGGGGGTTGGTTGAGTTCTGTAGGGTCGGGTTGAGTTGGGTTGGGGGTTGGTTGAGTTCTGTAGGGTCGAGTTGAGTTGGGTTGGGGGTTGGTTGAGTTCTGTAGGGTCGGGTTGAGTTGGGTTGGGGGTTGGTTGAGTTCTGTAGGGTCGGGTTGAGTTGGGTTGGGGGTTGGTTGAGTTCTGTAGGGTCGGGTTGAGTTGGGTTGGGGGTTGGTTGGGTTTTTTGAGGGGTTTAGTGGGATGTGGTTGGGGTTTGGTTGAGGTTTTGATGGGTTCAGTTGGGGTTGGGTTGGGATTTTGTGGGGTTTAGTTGAGTTTTGAGGGAGGGTTGTGGGTTTCGGTTGGGGATTGGTTGGGTTTTTTGGGTGTTTTGTGGGATTTGCTTGGGGTTCAGTTGAGGTTTTGATGGGTTCAGTTGAGGTTTGATGGGGTTTAGTTGGGTTTTGTGGGGCTAGGTTGGGTTGGGGGTTTGGTTTGGTTTTGGTGGGGTTTGTTGAGATTTGTGGGGTTGAGTTGGGTAGGGCTTTGGTTGGGATTTTGCATGAGTTTCTTTGGCTTTTGAGGGGGTTTGTTGTGTTTGGTGGGGTTTTGTGGAGCTGGCATTGGGTTTGGGCTGGGGCTTGGTGGGTTTTTTGGGGGGGTTGTTGAGGTTTCCTTCGCGTTTTGTTGAGTTTCGTGGGGTCTTGGTGGGGTTTGTGGGATTGTGATGAGATTTGCTTGAGGTTTTGATGAGTTTTTGTGGGTGTTTGTTGAGTTTGGTTGAGGTTTTACTTGGGCTTCATTGGGATCGGATAGGTTTTTGTGGGGATTTGTTTGGGTTTGGTTGGGTTTTGTGGTGCTTGGTTGGGAAATTGCTTGGGCTTGTAAGGTTTTGGTGGGGGGTTTGGTGGGGTTTGGTGGGGCTTGTCACATTGGGTTGTGTTTGGTTGGGTGATTTCATGGCACGGAATTGGGGAACTTTGAAACATGAAAAGTTTTGGTCTTTTCATGGCGTGAAATTGGGGCAGTTGTAGCATTTTGATGATGCAAAATTGGGGACGTCCAACGGAACTTGGACGAGTGGGATGGAATCCTGTTATAAGAGGGCCATGGCCATACTGGGAGGCATCCCATAGGCTGGAAACCAGTGCAAAGGGGACAAGAGCTCACTGGGAGCCCAGTATGGAGCCACGAGGTGACGCTGGGGCTGCAGAACCCCTCCCTGGAGAATGGGGGGGGATCCCATCAATCCCCAATGAGGATGGGCCCCAATTTGGGGAACTCCTCCCTTGGAGACAGAACCCATCCCCAGCACGTGGCGTTGGCTTGGAGGAGGGCCTTGGGGCGACCCCACGGCTCCCCACACCCCCACCCCACGTTCCCCCAGGTTCCGTACCGCCTGCGCCAGCTGACAGCCCTGCAGCAACGCTCGCTTTACGTCGGACCCCAAACGGTGACCGCGACCCCGCAGCTCCCGGGGCTTTTCCAAGGGATGGAGATGAAACCCCACGAAACGAAGGGCGGTCACCGCGTCACCCAGTTCCTCACCTACAACTGCCTGGCGGTCAGTCGTGCGTCCCTCAGCCCGTCCTCGCCCCGTTGTCCCCTCCTCACCTCCCCGTTTCCCCTACAGACGGATGCAGACCTTTACAATGAGTGTCTCCGGAGCTTCTGGACGTGTCCCCACTGTGGGCTCCATGCGCCCTTCACCCCCATGGAGCGAGTCTGCCACGAGAACGCGTGTCGGCCGCCGGACGGTGGGGCCTCGGGGATGGGGAGGGGGGGTCCATAGGGGACAACGTCCTGGCTTCTATGGGGATGGGGGGTCTGGGTTCTATGGGGACAATGTCCTGGGTTTGGTGGGGACAAGGATCCCCCCAGGATCGTGGATCCCCAAAGACCCGGAACACCTGGGTTCTTTGGGGACAGTGTGCTGGGTTCAATGGGGACAGGGGTCCTGGCTTTGGTGGGGGCAGAGATCTTGGGTTCTATGGGGAGCAGGGGTCCCAAATTCTGGGGGGATGGGTGTCCTGGGTTTGGTGGGGACAAGGATCCTGGGTCCTGTGGGGACGGGGGTCCTGGGTTCTATAGGGACAGTGTGCTGGGTTTTATGGGGACAGGGGTCTTGGGTTTGGTGGGGGCAGAGATCTTGGGTTCTATGGGGAGCAGGGGTCCCAAATTCTGGGGGGATGGGTGTCTTGGGTCCTGTGGGGATGGGGTCCTGGGTTTGGTGAGGACGGGGGTCCTGGGTTCTATAGGGACAGATGTCCTGGGTTCTTTGGGGACAGTGTGCTGGGTTCAATGGGGACAGGGGTCCTGGCTTTAGTGGGGACAAGGATCCTGGGTCCTGTGGGGACGGGGTCCTGGGTTCTATAGGGACAGCGTGCTGGGTTTTATGGGGACAGGGGTCCTGGCTTTGGTGGGGACAAGGATTCTGGGTTCTATGGGGGCAACGTCCTGGGTCCTGTGGGGACAGGGACCCTGGGCTCTATGGAAGGAAAGAGTTTTGAGGTTGGTTGTGGAGAGAAAAAAAGAAGGTTTTGTTTTGGTGATGGGAAAAGGGTTTTTTTTGGGGGTGGATATGGGAAAAATTGGGGTTTGGGGGGGTTCTAAGGGGGAAGAAAAGGGGTTTTGGGGAGTTGGTGATGGAAAAAGGGGTTTGGGGTTTGGTTTGTGGAAAGAATGGGGATTTGGGGGGTTGGTGGTGGGGATGAAAAAGGTATTTTGGGGATCGGTTGTGGGAATAAAATGGGATTTGGGTGTTATGGTGATGGTTAAAAAGGGGTTTTGGGAGCTGGCGAAGGGGGGAAAATGATTCGTCTTTGTTTCATGATCCCGTCTTTGTTTCATCCAGATTCCAACCGTTGACGGTTGGACTGGATGATCTTTTAGGTCTTTTCCAACCTTGGTGATCCTATGATTCTATCATTCTGTGGTTTTGGGGGTTGGTTATGGGGGGGGAAAAAGGGTTTTGGGGGGCAAAAAAGGGTTTGGGGGGGCAAAAAAGGGTTTGGGGGGTGATGATAAAAGAAATGCGTTTGGGAGGAGCGTGGTTTTGGGCTTGATG